GTATGTATATTCATGTATAACTGAAAAAATGTGCTCTACACTGGAATTTGACACAGCATTGTAAAATGACTATAACTCGTTAAAAAAAAGAAAGAATATTCATCAGGGTTGACCAAGGGTCAGGTGGGAGCACTAGTGTGCTATTAAATGTTTAGCAAGTCAGGGTTGGGGATCAGGAGGAACTGATTTGTAGTGTTTGTCAATTTCCAGTGGAAGGAATCCCCCCGTGGCTGATTTCAGTCTACCTATCATTTAACAGCTGGTTCGCAAAATTCTTGAAAATTTGACAATTGGTTCTTGGAAGCCTCCAGCATACCATGTAGTCATGTTAGAGGCAGGATCAGTGAGAGGTTAGGGTCAAGGTTCGTTGGGTCAGAGATCAGAATTCATGTCCAGGGTCCCTACCTCCATCCCTACAGATGAAGGTGCAGATGCTATGAGTGTGGAGCTGGTGGCATGGCATGGGCTGGTGGTGCCTCTCCCCCGAGGTGGAACAGCAGGCATTGCCCTGCTGGATCAGATCCAGGGTGCCTGCCCTGTACCAGATGTCACAGGCCAGGAACTGCCCAGAGCTGAAGGTGTCCTCCATCAGGCACAGCAGACCAGGTGAAGGGCAAGGAGGCTGGATGTAGAGGTCAGAGGGTGGGGAAGAAAGGGATGCCCAACTGATCATCTGTGCCCTACAGGGAGGGTACAGTCAGGGCCCAGGACCAAGCACTGGATGTTCAGAGTGTGCTGGCTGAGGCGGGAACTCATGCAGAGCTACAGAGCAAGGGCTACAGGTGGTGAAACAGAGACTTCAAGGCCTGGAAGCCAGTATACAGGAGGTGATACCCCACCCAAACCCCTCAGCTCCCTCACACCTCTTGTTCAGAGGCCACTGTGATCCCTGTTCTCCACCTGAGATGTTTGACCCACTGTGATACTATGGTGCTACCAAACACCCTGACCATGTGAACACCTTACTTAGTTGCTACCCTGATGTGACCTCCCTGTGATCCCCTGACGTTTGCCTCAGGTGGCAGGGCTACTGGCCTGGGTGGCTCTGGAAGTGGATGTGACCCCAGTCCTGGGGCGTTTGTCCAGTGCAGCTGTGGCTCTTAGGACCCTTTTGGCCCTGAGTCAGCTGCAGGCCCAGGAGGCAGAAGAGCAGGCAGCACATGCCTTGGGCATGGCTGGGAGCCTGAACAAGATGAGATGGGAAAAGTGGACATTAGAAACTCAGGGACACGTCTGGAACAGTGTGAAGTGGGGTTTGGTCTGGGACTGGACTGTGCTAGGCTGGAAGCAGGATCTCAGTTCTAAAAGCCCCTGCCCCCCAGGAACCTTGGGCAGCAATGTGTTTGGGACAGTAGGGTCTAGGTGGGGTGGGGTTTCAGATCCAGTCCTGCTCTAGGAGTTGCAGGTGTCCCATTTAGGTGTGACAGAGTCTCAGAAGGGCACGTCTAGCCTGGTGATCACAGTATAGGATGTAGGAGAGCGGGTACAGCGGGAATGAGCTGAGGCTCAAGAGCTGCTAAAGCTGGCATAGAACAGCTGGAGCCACCTGGAGGGTGCATGGCTGTGCCATGGTGGGGAGGGTACAGGGGCAGGATCAGGGTCAGAAGGGAGGGTCAGAGTCACAAGGGTGGTGTAGGAGGGTCAGTGCTGGGTCCAGGTCAGGTCCAGCTTCATGTAGGGATCAGGCTGCGGACAAAGTTCAGAACAGAGGGTCAAATGTTGACTAGGGTTAGAGCTCATTTAAGGCTGGGGTCAGAGTCAGGCCGTGACAGAGATGAGGACCAGGGTCAGAGATGAGGGCCAAAGGTCAGAGCCTAGCTCAGATGACCTTGATCCCCAGGCTTGGAGCACCATCTGGCACAGAACGAGCAGGCACTGGGCAAGAAGGTGGCCACCCTGTGGACCCTGGAGCAGCAGGCAGTAAAGCTGCTTGAGGACACGTAGCTGTGGGCCAATGCGTATGCCACCTGCTGACTGCTGTCTATGGATGCCAGTAAGAGGGACTCTGGGACTGCTTGGGTGACTCAGAGTGACCCCAGAGTGGCCCAGGAATCTCCTGACCTTGAGAGACCAGAGACACCACTGAGTGCCTCCCCCATCCTGAGCCCCAGGAGACACCATGATGTCTTCCAGTGGCCCTCTGACCTTGAGAAACCTGAAACATCATGTAAAACTCCCTAAGGCCATCGAGTGCCCCAAGACCCTGATAGATCCTTATCTCTAAGTGATCGAAGGTTCTGAGCCACCTCTAGTATCCCTGAGCCCCTCAGGTGGATTATGTGCCCCTCAGGGTGACTGGCGATCTCTACTCCAGATAACTTGTGTAACTCCCAGCAACCCTGGAAGTCCAGCAGATTGACTGCCTCCTGATTTCCCTGAAGAACCCCTAGCTTTCTCCCCTGGGCCAGTAGCTCCAGGGTACTCTCCACTCGACCCCAGACAGAGAGTGGGTGCAGCTGTGGTAGCTCAAAGTCATCCTGACATGGCCCTACAGTCCCACAGAGTCCCTGGTCCCTGCCGCTGTCCCAGGGGCCTGGGTGGGGCACGCGCTCCCGCAGCACGCATTCCAAGCCCGGGCTCAGGCACTCTCGGCAGACCAGAAGGTCCGGAGTGGATGAATAGCCATAAGATCTGGATTCGCTCGCTACTGCTCTGCTCTGTTGTCGGTGCCCAGCACCTATTTATACCAGGAAACTAAGCACTTCTCGTGCCTGTGTGCTGTAGTGACTGGGGGAGGTGGAGACCTTGGGCAGGGGATGGTCTTTCTCCATTTCTCCCCATACCCCTGTGTTGTCCTGTCTCTTCTGCCAGGCCATTCTAAACTTTCCCAAATCCCTGAGTAGGGGAGCTTGACAGCCCTGAGTGCGCCCTTCCACCTCCCTGCTGATGCTGGAGGCCTGGGACTGAAAAGACTAATCGATGGTGGCTTCTGAAGCATTGACAACACTGGGGACAAAGGCTAATTTCCATGGGCCCTTGAGGTCTCGAAGATCAGACTCCTTTGCTTATGCCATGGCCCCTGCTTGGTGCATTCCTTAACTGCAGTGGCATAAAGCCCCAGGCCCCTACCTTCCCCTGGCTCTGCACAGGCCTGGGTATGGGGGCACAATAAAGATTTGCAGGTGAGCAGGCCTGTGTCTGGTTTCTAGAATGAGGGAGGAGGAGGTTCTGCATGATGGTGGGCAGCAGAGGCTCAGGGAAGGGAAAGGTCCCAGGGGCCCACACCAATTTGTGGCTGAACCAGTTCCAGAAAGGTGGAGGGTTTCTGCATGATGTTGTGCTCCTGCCCAAAATCCACTCCATGCTTTGCTTCCTGCCATGCTTCCCAACTTTGCTCAAAGTCGCCAGACTCCGAGCAAGTGGAGGGACCGCTGGACAGACTGAGGACTGAGTGGGGAATCAGCCAAGGACCCACACAGGCAGAGTCAGCATGGGACCCCAAGGGTAGGGGTGGGTGGCAAGGGCCCCAGACCTCCCACTTCCCCTCTCATCCCGATTCCCCTCCTCTTCAGGATGGAGCGGGCCTCAGGGGAACGAGGGAGGGACCTGAGGGGACAGCCTGGGCCCTGGGAGCTTCGACTTGGCCTGCTGCTGAGTGGTGAGAGAGCCCGGTGAAGGCCTGGGGTTGGCGGGATGTGATGGCGGGTCCTGGGGTAGCTGGCCCTGTGGCTACTGGGTGGGAGCTCAGCAGAACCGGCTGACCCCCTGTTCCCAGTGCTGGCCACCGCCCTGGCCCAGGCCCTGGCCCCGGATGTACCAGGCTGTTTGCGAGGAAGCTGCTACCCTGCCACGGGTGACCTGCTGGTGGGCCGCGCCGACAGACTGACCGCCTCATCCACCTGCGGCTTGCACGGCCCCCAGCCCTACTGCATCGTCAGTCACCTGCAGGTGCGGCTGGGGGTGGGGTGGGAGTGCTGACTCAGGGTGGGGCTGGCACTGGCTGAGGCACTGACCCTGACCCAACCTAGGACGAGAAGAAGTGCTTCCTGTGTGACTCCCGGCGCCCCTTCTCTGCTAAACACAACCCAAACAGCCATCGCATCCAGAATGTAGTTACCAGCTTTGCACCACAGCGCCGGGCAGCCTGGTGGCAGTCAGAGAATGGTGAGGCTGTGGGTGGTGTATGGGTGAGCAGGGCTGCCCACCAGTAGCCTCAAGTCCCTGATCTCCGACTCCTGCCCCAGGTGTCCCCGTGGTCACCATCCAGCTGGACTTGGAGGCTGAGTTCCATTTCACACACCTCATTATGACCTTCAAGGTGCCCGCGTGTCTGGGAGCCTGCTTGAAGCACCCTGCTTGGCTCCTCATTGCCCCTGAATAGAGTCCCAGCTTCTCAGCCCAGCCTCCCTGCTCTCATATGCTGTTTTCTGGCTGGATGGGAGGTTCCTTCACCTCCCACAACTTCTGTTGCCTCCTACTTCCAAGCCTTTGTCCATGCTGCCCCAAACCCAGGCTGGGTCAGGTGCTGCCTCCCTGGGCCCCATGTCCATTGAGTCTCCCCACTAGAGGTGGCTTCCCATCCTAATCCTTGCTTGGCTTCCTCTCTTCACCCTGACCTGTCCGTGAGCTGCTTGAGAGCAGGCCTCAGCTGGGCAGGGCTCTTGATGGGCCTGGGCTGGACTTGGGTCCTGGTGCTCACTGATCAGCCATGCCCCCTACCCAGACATTTCGCCCTGCTGCCATGCTGGTGGAGCGCTCAGCAGACTTTGGACGCACCTGGCATGTGTACCGATATTTCTCCTATGACTGTGGGGCTGACTTCCCAGGAGTTCCACTGGCCCCTCCACGGCACTGGGATGACGTAGTCTGTGAGTCCCGCTATTCAGAGATCGAGCCATCCACTGAAGGAGAGGTGAGGGCTGGGATCTGGGCTTGGGGCAGAAAGGGGCATGATGGGCCTGAGTCAGGTCCAGTGTCTCTAATGACTCTATGCCCTTCCAGGTCATCTATCGTGTTCTGGACCCTTCCATCCCTATCCCAGACCCCTATAGCCCACGGATCCAGAGTGAGTGTTCCATACTTTGAAACTGGCATAGTCCCAGCGTCCGGCTGGTGACTATCTGGGGCCTCAGTAGCTATTTTGGGTGCTTCCTAGGGCAGGTGCCAAGTCCAATTTAGCTCATATAGCTGTAGACACAGGAGGTCTCCCAAGGTGACCTTGGCAGCTTCAGCCCCTGGGTGGGCATGGGGCAGCAAGGGCCTGCCTGGCCAGCTGGTCCTCATTCTTTCCCCCTATTTAGACCTGCTAAAGATCACCAACCTACGGGTGAACCTGACACGGCTACACACGCTGGGGGACAACCTACTTGACCCACGGCGGGAGATCCGAGAGAAGTACTATTATGCCCTCTACGAGCTGGTTGTGCGTGGCAATTGCTTCTGCTATGGACATGCCTCACAGTGTGCACCCGCCCCAGGGGCACCAGCCCATGCTGAAGGCATGGTGAGGTCCTTCAACTGGCTGGAGTAGGGCTGCGGGCAGGGGTGGCATGGCTGGACAGTGCTGACCACTTGCCTGCCCACCCTCCTAGGTTCATGGGGCCTGTGTCTGCAAACACAACACCCGTGGCCTTAACTGTGAGCAGTGTCAGAATTTCTATCATGATCTGCCCTGGCATCCGGCTGAGGACGGCCACAGTCATGCCTGCAGGAGTGAGTGAGACCCTGGCCCCCATAGTCCCACAACTCTGTGGCCTGGCTGTGCCCTGGGCAGAATCTTGAGCTGGCTGGTTAAATTCCTAGCACCTCAACTGTGTCTGAAGGATATCCACATCTTAATGCCCCTGGGTGTTTCCTCAACTCTCCTCCACAGTCTGCTCTGGTTAGGGGCCCAGTTTTATGATGTTGAAGCCTTCAAGTCCCTGAACCCCTACTCACAAATTCTGGCCTGTGGCAGGGACCTCAGGTGACACTGGGGCTCCCTAAGCCCCTTACCCTCAGGACATGGTCCCTCAAGTGAACTTTGCCCTGCCCTTCCCTCCCAAGAGTGCGAATGCCATGGGCATGCCCACAGCTGCCACTTTGACATGGCTATATACTTGGCGTCTGGCAATGTGAGCGGAGGTGTGTGTGATGGATGTCAGCACAACACAGCCGGGCACCACTGTGAGCTCTGCCGGCCCTTCTTCTACCGTGACCCAACCAAGGACCTGCGGGACCCAGCCGTGTGCCGCCGTAAGGCTGGGATTGGACACGGGAGAGGGAAGGCTGATCCTGGGGTAGGAGCTGAGGTTCCAGACAGCTGTCCAAGTTGCAGGGATTTGGGGTGGGGGGTATAGGGTGGAGCCAGACTGAGAATCTAGGGTGGGGACTTGAGAGATGACTGGTGCTGGGTAGCTGGGATAGGATAACCCTGTATATCTTTTTGCCCTCAGCCTGTGATTGTGACCCCATGGGTTCCCAAGATGGTGGCCGCTGTGACCCCCATGATGATCCTGCACTGGGGCTGGTCTCGGGCCAGTGTCGCTGCAAAGAGCATGTGGTGGGCTCTCGCTGCCAGCAATGCCGTGACGGCTTCTTCGGGCTCAGTGCCAGTGATCCTCTAGGCTGCCAGCGTATGTGCTTCCTGTCCTGACTCCTGTGCTGACCTTAACTCTTGATCTTTTATTCTTGACCCAACTGGACATGAGCAATGCCACAGCTCCCCACAGTGCTGATAGGTCTCCTTCCCTGCAGGATGTCAGTGTGATACACGAGGCACAGTGCCTGGGGGCACCCCTTGTGACCGCAGCAGTGGAGCCTGTTTCTGCAAGCGTCTAGTGACTGGACATAGCTGCAGCCGCTGCCTGGTGCGACTGGATGGGGCTGGAATTCTGCACTTATACTCAGAGCACAGGGATGGGGTGGTGTCTGAGCCCCATTGGGTGGGTGCTAAGAGTTTAGGGGCCAGTCCTGGTTGAGAAGCCTCAGGTCTGGGAGGCCACGCCTGGGAGTCAGTGGTCTAGGGTTCATGTTTTCCCCAAGAGATGGTAGAGGCTGACAGCCATCATTGGAATCCCTGCTGGACAGCGAGGGGATCTAATTCTGGCCCCTAGCAATTTCCTCTCCCCTAGCCTGGCCACTGGGGCCTGAGCCATGACCTGCTTGGCTGCCGTCCGTGTGACTGCGACGTGGGTGGTGCCTTGGATCCCCAGTGAGTGCTGTATAAGGGGCTCCAGGACGGGTGGGAAAAGATCCTGGGCAGGATGCGAGTCCTTCTTGAGTAATCATTCACTTTCTAGGTGCAACGAGGCCACAGGTCAGTGCCGCTGCCGCCAGCACATGGTGGGGCGCCGCTGTGAGCAGGTGCAGCCTGGTTACTTCCGGCCATTTCTTGACCACCTAACTTGGGAGGCTGAGGAAGCCCGAGGGCAGGTAGGAAGGGCAGGATGTGGGTGGTACTATGACTGGAGAGGCAGGGTTACAGGTGGTGCCTTCTATGGGGAGGGAGTCAGCCTTGGGCAGGGCCTCAGCTGAAGAGCTGGGGTTTGGGAACAGACTGTGGCAGAAGAGGAGATGCCTTGCCCGAGTCCCCACCGCCTCCACATTGCCTCCTAGGGGCTTGATGTGGTGGAGCGCCTGGCCACCCCCGGGGGGACTCCGTCCTGGACCGGCCCAGGCTTTGTTAGACTGCGGGAAGGTCAGTCACTGGAGTTCCTGGTGTCCTCTGTACCAAGAGCCATGGACTATGACCTGCTGCTGCGCTTGGAACCCCAGGTCAGGCCTTGTGACACTTAACCCAGAGCTGATCCTCCGGGTGTGGGAGCATCTCCTCCATCGTCCCATTTCCCCAGGTGCCGGAGCAATGGGCAGAGGTGGAACTGACAGTGCAGCGCCCAGGACCTGTATCTGCCCGCAGCCCATGTGGGCATGTGCTGCCCAAGGATGACCACATCCCAGGGACTCTGCGACCAGGCGCTAGGTGAGGACACTAATGGTTACACCTACAGCTGTGGGTCAGCCCTAAGCTTCCTGCAGGGCACTTAGAAGACCCCACTGGTCATTCATCTGGTTCCTTCCTTCAAGTGCCTCCTCCTCCTGAGTGCTGTTTGCCAGCTGCTGTTGGGCATGGCGCTAGTCAGAGGAAGGAGGCAGACAGAACAAGGCCTGCTCCTGCATGGGCCTGGATTCCAGGGGCCAAGGCAAGAATTAATGGGAACCCATCCAGTGTCAGTATGGGGAGTGCCCAGTGGGGGAAGGGAGGGCATCAGAGAGTACTCTCAGCAGGGATGTAACTGGTCTGATTAATGTTTTACTGTATTTGGGATAGTATTTGTTTCATGTATCTTCTTTTACTTAATTTTTAAATTTTTTTGATATAAGCAAGATTTTTATTAGTTAAGTAAAAAAATAGTGAAAGATAGTACACTCCCGAGAATTGGGAGCAGGCCAATCCAAGAGAGGAAAAACAGCCTCATGTATCTTCTTTTAATTAATTTACTTCTTTTAAACTTTTTATCATGTAAATATTCAAATATACAGAGAAGCAGAGAGAATAGCGTAATGAACCTGTCTGTACCCATTATAGATATTTTGCCAATTATAACTATGTTTAACAAAGATTCTTCTAGTTGCTGAGTGAATAGACTTAAAGGGCCAAGGTGGAAGCTGGGAGAACCCTGGCAACTGTTGAGTTAGCTGAGTGACAGTGGACTGGGCAGAGGTGTAGCAGTTGAGGTGGTGAGAAGAGGAAGTTTTCAGAGGGTTCTAGTGACAGAGCTGATGGCTTAAACAGGTAGGAAAGGGAGAAAAAGTGGAAGAGTGACTCTAGGGTTTTTGGCTTGGGCATCTGAATAGGGTGAGGCTCTTTACTGAGATGGAGACATAGGGAGGAGCAATTCTGAGATGCTTAGACATGGAGGACAAAGGCCAGTGCATGGTTGGATTTCTGTGTCTGGAATTACTGGGAGGGCTCAAGTCGGAGATATAAATTTGAGACTTGTCACGAAAGAGGTGGGTCTAGGTTAAATGACCAGAGAAAGGAAGGAGGACCAGAACCAAACTTTGGGGTACTCTAGTGTTAGAGCCCAGTACAGAGGGAGGAGCTGGGGGATGGGGAGAAATTGAGAGTCTGGACAGAGTCCCAGAATCTAAGAGAAGAATGTCTCAGGAAGGAAGGCACACTGATCTCATCACACGCTGCTGAACACTGGAGCAGATAAGAATAGAGAAGTGACCTCTGGATTTGGCTACATGGAGGTCGCCAGTGACCTTGGGACAGGCCGTCTGCATGGCATAATGGGGCAAAAGCTCCCCTGAAGTGGGAGGCTATATATAGAGTGGAGACAGTGACTACAATCAAGTTTTAGTCACCTTGATCTCAGACTTCTAGCCTCCAGGATGCGAGACAATAAATTTCTATTGTTTAAAAAAAAATGTAGGGATTCATTGGGCAAGAGAGCAAGGACAAAGCATCAGCCAGGGAGAGGCTGGAGGGACTGAGCAAAGATTTTTTTTCAGCGGGGATCAAAGAACCCTAGCATGGGTTTGCAGGCTGATGGGAATGGCCTGGGGCGGTGGGAGGTGATGCAGTCTTGGTGAAGAGGAGCCATGGTTGGAGGCTGGAGGTCGAGGTTGGAGGAAGTGTAAAGAGGTCACTGAGGAAAAATTGCTAAGTATTTGTGCCAGGGAAATGCCGTATGGAATGTTTTAAGCAAGACAAGCCTGCACAGGTGATTCCAGTGAAGCATGTGTATGGGAATCTTCTGTACAGATTCTCTGTCAGATTGTCCAGCTGTCTTTGGTCTGGCCCAGTCCTAGTCTCTTTCTTGGCCAATGGTTTGGTTGCTGTGTGTGGGGTGGGAAAGCCCAAGATGATGGGTATAGAGACTCTAGGTGACCCCCATACCTGTCCTTGACTACCTACCCCAGGTACATGGTGCTTCCCAGACCTGTGTGCCTTGAGCCTGGCATCTCCTACAAGCTGCATCTGAAGCTGGTGCGAACAGGAGGAAGTGCCCAGCCTGAGGCCCCCTATTCTGGACCCAGCCTACTCATTGACTCGGTGAACAGTTCCCTCTCCCCGTACCAATCAAGATGGCAGGGCCTGTGGGGTGGGTCCTGTAGTGGTGGCTATATACAAGGGGTCTGTGACAGAAGAGGCAAGTCCATGCGAGTGCTAAGCTTAGTGCTCTGACAGTGCCAACATGGTCCTAGGTCTGAACCACATTCTTCCTTGCTCATGTGTTTTTATTTTAATTTTTAAATTTTTTAATTAATGGACTTAATTTTTTTAGAGCAGTTTCAGGTTCACAGGAGAATTGAGCAGAAAATACAAAGAGTTCGCACATAGCCCTTCCCACCCACACATACATACTCCCCTACCCTCAGCATCCCTCATCAGTGTGACATATTTGGTACAATTGAGGAACCAACATGGACACATTATTATCAACCAAAGTCCATCGTTTACATTGGGGTTCACTCTTCTTGTATGCTCATGTCTTAAGCTGGTGCTGCTGCCCCGTGTCCTGGTGCTGGAGATGTTCAGTGGAGGTGATGCTGCGGCTCTGGAGCGCCGTGCCACCTTTGAACGCTACCGCTGCCACGAGGAGGGCCTGATGCCTAGCAAGACCCTTCCCTCTGAGGCCTGTGCCCCCCTCCTCATCAGCCTGTCCACCTTTCTCTACAACGGAGCCCTGCGTGAGTGCCTGTGGAGTAGCTGGTGGGGCAGAGGTGTAGGGGCTCAGCCTGACCTGCTCTTTACCCTCTTCCCACAGCCTGTCAGTGTGACCCCCAGGGCTCACTGAGTTCTGAGTGCAACCCCCATGGTGGTCAGTGCCTGTGCAAACCTGCAGTAGTTGGGCGCCGCTGTGACCTCTGTGCCCCTGGCTACTATGGTTTTGGCCCCACAGGCTGTCAAGGTACTCGCCTGCCCCTTCGTCCCTCCTGTTCTCTCTCCTCCCTACTACTGTTCTCCCTCCTCCCTCTGGCTCTGCTTCTTCCCTCCCCTAACTCTGCTTTGGACCCCACAGTCTTAGCCCTGGTCACATGAAATTCTCTTCCGTTTCCTGACCTTCTACCCTGACCCCACCAGAATCCTCTCAAGCTCCCCCCTGGCTCAATCTCTGCCTTGCCCCCAGCCTGCCAGTGCAGCCCCGAGGGGGCACTCAGTGGCCTATGTGATGCGACCAGTGGGCAATGCCCCTGCCGAACTGGTGCCTTTGGGCTTCGTTGTGACCGCTGCCAGCGTGGCCAGTGGGGGTTCCCTAGCTGCCAGCCGTGTGTCTGCAACGGGCATGCAGACGAATGTGACACCCACACAGGCGCCTGCCTGGGCTGCCGTGATCACACAGGGGGTGAGCACTGTGAAAGGTGAGCCTGAGCAGCTGTGAGCGAGCTGATGGGTGGGCAGGCTGCTCAGGGATAGCACAGCTCTTCCTCCTCCTCCCTGCAGGTGCATTGCTGGCTTCCACGGGGATCCACGACTGCCGTATGGGGGCCAGTGCCGGCCCTGTCCCTGCCCCGAAGGCCCTGGGAGCCGGCGGCACTTTGCTACTTCTTGCCATCGGGATGGGTACTCCCAGCAGATCATGTGCCACTGTAGGGCAGGCTACACAGGTGAGTAGGTAAGGCGCAGGCACGGGATCAGGGTCGTGCAGCTGGGCTGAGCACTCACGCCTTCCCCCTGACTGTGGGCAGGGCTGCGATGTGAAGCTTGTGCTCCTGGGCACTTTGGGGACCCATCAAGGCCAGGAGGCTGGTGCCAACCATGTGAATGCAGTGGGAACATTGACCCCACGGACCCTGATGCCTGTGACCCCCACTCGGGGCAATGCCTGCGCTGCTTACACCACACGGAGGGGCCACGCTGTGCCCACTGCAAGCCTGGCTTCCATGGGCAGGCTGCCCGACAGAGCTGCCACCGTGAGTGTGGGTATGGGACGGGATGATTGGGGTGGGGCTCCACTGCTCCAGCTCCCCTTGACTAGTGTGCTCATCTTGCCTGGCACAGGCTGCACCTGCAACCTGCTGGGCACAGATCCCCAGCAGTGCCCATCCACTGACCGATGCAACTGTGACCCAAGCAGTGGGCAGTGCCCGTGCCTCCCCAACGTCCAGGGCCCTAGCTGTGATCGCTGTGCCTCCAACTTCTGGAATCTTACCAGTGGTCGTGGCTGCCAGCCCTGTGCCTGCCACCCAAGCCGAGCCAGAGGCCCCACCTGCAATGAGGTATGGGACCTTACTGTGGCTCCCTGGGGAGAGGGGGCCAGCTACCTGCCTCAAGTCTTGAGGGCTCAGCCTCTGATTGAGGCCTTGACCTTTGCCCTTTTTCCCCTCTAGTTCACAGGACAGTGCCACTGCCGTCCTGGCTTTGGTGGGCGAACTTGTTCTGAATGCCAGGAGCTCCACTGGGGAGACCCTGGGTTGCAGTGCCGTGGTGAGGAAGCCAGCAGGGCCAGGGTGGATGGGGGACTTCCCAGGATGCCCCCACCGGCACCCTAACTTTGTGGTCTCCCCTTTTCCTGCAGCCTGTGATTGTGACCCTCGTGGAATAGACACACCTCAGTGTCACCGTTCCACAGGCCACTGCAGCTGCCGCCCAGGCGTGTCTGGCGTGCGCTGTGACCAGTGTGCCCGTGGCTTCTCTGGTGTCTTTCCTGCCTGCCACCCCTGCCATGCATGCTTTGGGGACTGGGACCGCGTGGTACAGGACCTGGCTTCCCGTACACGGCGCCTGGAACAGTGGGCACAGGAGCTGCAGCAGACCGGTGTGCTGGGTGCTTTTGAGAGCAGCTTCCAGCACATGCAGGAGAAGCTGGCCACTGTGCAGGGCATTGTGGGTGCCCGCAACACCTCAGCTGCCTCCACTGCGCAGCTCGTGGAAGCCACAGAGGAGCTGCGGTGCGGATGGAAATGAGCATACGTGGTGGGTGAGGCAGCGGTCCAATGTACCAGGGCCAAAGCCTCTTTAAACAACATCCTACCCCGCCCCACCCCATGCAGGCGTGAAATCGGGGAGGCCACTGAGCACCTGACCCAGCTGGAGGCAGAGCTTACAGATGTGCAGGATGAGAACTTCAATGCCAACCATGCACTAAGCAGTCTAGAGAGAGACGGGCTTGCCCTTAACCTTACACTGCGGCAGCTTGACCAGCATCTGGACCTGCTGAAGCATTCAAACTTCCTGGGTGAGTTGTTGGCCAACTAGGCAGGTGAGTCAGGGTTGACCTTCACCTGACTGCCTGCCTCTGCCCGACTTAGGTGCCTACGACAGCATCCGTCATGCCCACAGCCTGTCAGCAGAGGCAGAACGTCGTGCCAACATGTCGGCCCTGGCAGTGCCCAGCCCTGTGAGCAACTCAGCAGGCACCCGGCACCAGACAGAGGCACTGATGGGTGCCCAGAGGGAGGACTTCAACCGCAAACACATGGCCAACCAGCGGGCACTGGACGAGCTCTCTGCCCGTACCCACACCCTGAGTCTGACAGGCATAAATGAACTGGTGAGGCACAAGCGTCGGGTGCAACATGTGGGTGTGGCTGTTCCTTCCACTGGGCCCTGACTTGTTCTGTGTCTGGCAGGTGTGCGGGTCCCCGGGAGATGCACCGTGTGCTACAAGCCCTTGCGGGGGTGCTGGCTGTCGGGATGAAGATGGGCAGCCCCGCTGTGGGGGCCTCAGCTGCAGTGGGGCAGCAGCCATGGCGGACCTGGCTCTGGGTCGGGCCCGCCACACACAGGCAGAGCTGCAGCGGGCACTGGCTGAAGGTGGTGGCATCCTCAGCCAGGTAGCTGAGACCCGTCGGCAGGCAGGCGAAGCACAGCAGCGGGCCCAGGCAGCCCTGGACAAGGCTAATGCTTCCAGGGGACAGGCGGAACAGGCCAACCAGGAACTGCGGGAACTTATCCAGAGTGTGAAGGACTTCCTCAGCCGTGAGCCTCCCTTGTGGCCCAGGCCATGTGGTGTTTCCCCAGTGTCTGTGTTCATATGTGGGTCAGGGCCTGCATTGTACCTGTGTTTATGGTCACAAATGAGCAAGAGCTCATGTCTGGACCCTGAGCCCTTGTCCATATGTGGTCCAAGAATTGACAGCCCTGAATCTATGTCCCATGTTCAGTCCCTGTCATTGTGGTTATGTCCTTATGCCTGTTAGCAATCCATACCCCATGTGTGGTCCCTGAGTACATACCCCAAGATTGTGTCCCCATGCCTGTGCTGGGGAATCTGTGTCCCTAAGCTCTTGCCTATGTTCCCATAGAGGAGGGGGCTGATCCTGATAGCATTGAGATGGTGGCCACACGGGTGCTAGAGCTCTCCATCCCAGCATCACCTGAGCAGATCCAGCACCTGGCGGGTGAGATTGCAGAGCGGGTCCGGAGCTTGGCAGATGTGGACACCATTCTGGCGCGTACTGTGGGAGACGTCCGTCAGGCAGAGCAGCTACTGAAGGATGCACGGCGGGCACGGTGTGACCCCGACCTTAGACCCCATTCTTGACACTTCCTGATACTTGCAGGCCCTGATTTCCTTTCTTCCTCAGGAACCGGGCTGAGGGTGAGAAACAGAAGGCAGAGACAGTACAGGAGGCACTGGAGGAGGCCCAGCGGGCACAAGGTGCTGCTCAGGGTGCAATCCAGGGGGCAGTGGTTGACACACAGGACACAGAGCAGACCCTGCACCAGGTATGGTCTCTCTGGGACATCAGTGGGGCAAGGTTATGGGTGTGCCGCATAGACCTTTTTAACCCTGGGCCCATTCATGGCAGGTGCAGGAGAGGATGGCAGGTGCAGAGCAGGCACTGAGATCTGCAGGCGAGCGGGCTCAGCAATTGGATGGTCTCCTGGAAGCTCTTAAGTTGAAACGAGCAGGGAATAGCCTGGCAGCTTCTAGCGCTGAAGAAACAGCAGGCAGTGCCCAGGGTCGTGCCAGGGAAGCTGAACAGGTGGGTTGTGGCAGAGCCAGTTGGAAGAGGGTAGGGGTAGAGGCTCGGCTTCTACTGGGCCACCACCCTGACCCTGCCCTTTATATCTGCAGCTGCTGCAGGGCCCACTAAGTGACCAGTACCAGACAGTGAGGGCCCTGGCTGAGCGCAAGGCCCAGGGTGTGCTGGCTGCGCAGGCACGGGCAGAGCAACTGCGGGATGAGGCTCGGAGCTTGCTGCAAGCTGCTCAAGACAAGCTACAGCGGCTGCAAGGTGAGGATGGGGGTGGGTGGGCTCCAGAGATGTGGGCCTCTGGGAGTAGGCCCCTTCAGCTGAGATCTGTCTCTCCTAGAGCTGGAAGGCACTTATGAGGAGAACGAGCGGGCGCTGGAGGGCAAAGCGGCTCAACTGGACGGGCTGGAGGCCAGGATGCGCAGCGTGCTTCAGGCCATCAACTTGCAGGTCCAGATCTACAACACCTGCCAGTGACCCTTGTCTGAAGACTACCCCAGACCTGTCCCCAGTCTCTCCCTGCACGGATTACTGCCTGTGCATGGAACAGTCCCCAGCCTGGCAAGGCCCCCAATAAACCGGTGTGAATCCCTACTGTGTGGTCTGGACTCTGATTTCGAGAGGGCGGGGTCTCTGGGCGGAACCTCGGGGCTGCCATCAGCCTGGGCCCCCGGCAACGCCAAGGCACCGGAGCCCCGCCTCCTCCGTTCGGCCCGCCCCGGAGCTGCCCGTCGCCGCGTGCCCGCTCCCGCAGGAAGTGCGTCACGGGCTCTGCGTTCAGCCTCCCGCGGCCACTAGAAGTCGAAACAAAACAAGCAGCTGAGGCGGTGGTGGCGGTGCCGGGACGGGGGAGGGGCGCGCCGGAACCGGAACCGACTTGACGCCGGAACCGGAACCGAGAGCGGGTTGCCAGGGCCCGAAGAGGGCTGGCGGCGGCGGCGGCGG